GCTGGCATTGTGTGGAATGATGACGTTTCTTGAACGCTACGCTAGTTTAAGATATCCTTATTGAATGTGTGCTTCAAAAAACTTATCTTATCAGTCATGTGAGGGAATGGAAGGACATAAAATTTTTGCCAGCTGATCATCATCAAGCTCAGTGGTGTCCACCCTGACTCTTCATTTTCATTATTATTGGTTCACAAAATAAAGCAAAAAAATCATGATGCTGTTTTTCGATAGGCCACTGTGAACTTTAAGAAAATTACTTCTATGATGGATTAAGAGATTCTTGAAAGTGCTTTGCCTGATAGCGTGCACTTTTAATGTACGCTTCGAAAGGGAGAGAATTTAAATTCCAAACTGTCAGTGTCATGTTGTTGTGATAAGGAGTTGATAATAGGTTAAAAAAGCATTACGTCTAATACTTTTCACTTAAGGCATCACTATTTATATTGGCACATTGCTATTTTCCTCTACTACTCACACAAGCCACTTCGTGCACCTGTAGCTTCGATTATAGATATAGACGTGATTTATACTTCGAATTAGAAAAATCTGATATTTGGCCTTTTGCAGCTGTTAAACGAACTTTTGAACAAATTGGCAAACCATCATCAATTAATGAAACGTGCTTTCATCTTGGATAGTTTATTGTTATGTTCCTCGAGATCATGGCTAAAGGTTATTGAATCTTGTTTCCGATAACAACTCCAAGTTAATTTTTCAATCTTTTAAAGCTCTAGGTGTTTAGTTGGATTATTTTTATCCAACAGAAGGGCTTGCTTGAGTTTAAATTTTGGATTAGAAGTCTTAAAATAAACGTTTCTGGAAGACTGCAATCATTTAAGGTGGTGCAGCTTTAAAAGGTCTTTTCTTCTAATGCTATGGGTATGACCTACAGGCACCAGAGAAAACGACTACTAGTTTGGTCAAAATTCTTCAATTTATGATTGGGATTATTCAGCTAACAACCCTTTCAAGAAAAATTTTCTTTAAAATTCTTCAATTCAACCTCAAAACTTTTCAGACCCAACATACTGAGCTGCACAGTTGAGTTTAGTTTAACTACCAGGAAGATCTTAATTTATGCACAGATTCAGCGGAGCTATTGATAGAATGAATGGTGCAACTAATTTCTCATTTCAGCATTTTTCAGCTTTTTGGCGGCAGCGAGTTATTCCATAAGTTGTAAATGAGCCAACTCAGAACTAGGCATCCTAGGCCTTTTATGCCAATATTATGGGCTCAGTCAAATGGTTTCCTTGTGGAATGATCAGTACACGAAAGATACAAAAATGAAGCAAGTAGCAACATCGTACACTACTCAAAATTATAAAATGAAAGGTAGATAATAATTATGCGAGAAGTTACTTGTCCGATAAGAGTTCTGCAGTAGCGCATCGCACTTTTTGTGCTTACCTTTCAAGTGAGAAAATTTGAGGATAAAGGAGAAGCTTGTGATACGAACCGTTCTTCTATATCAATTCTTTAGACAAGATCTTTGGGAAACAAATTCCTTATCAAAGTTAGAGTTGGAGTTAGACTTCTGGAGGCATATTTGACAAATATTAATATAGGCGAACTATGCTTTGATATTCCTCTATGGCTCCTGATGAAGAAATTTTGCGTTTGAACCTCAACTTGTGGTGTGATAAATCTCTATAGAAATAATCTCAGTGTACTCACCTCACGATACAGCCTCTCGTTAATGCTGATTTTCTTCACTCTCGTTGTTGCCTGTTTGGCAAAGTTGGATCTAAGAGGTAGGTTAAAAGTCATTTTAGACGAAGTCAGTGCTAATTTAGATAATTATAGTGAAATTATCACTGAAGGAGGCGGAAAAGCTTACTGGCAGTGACCTCGACGAGTATCTGCTTAGACATCAGAAACTTTTCAAGGTGCAGGAAGAATCAGCTTTTAGCAAACCACCAGTACTGAGGAATTTTCCAGGTGGGAGAATCAAAGCAAGCTGTCGAACGCATGAAGCATTTGATGGATTCAAAATTCTTAGTCGAGCCGAAGGAAGAGGAGCGTAAGAAAATCCCAATCGACAAAGACGAGGTTATTCCTGAAAAGTAAGATGTTTTAGTATTTTTAAATTATGAATTCTCACTTGCAGAGCCATCGGCATATGATAACGCCTGACAATTTTAGTATTTGGTTTGTATTTTAATTTCCCGTCAGTTACGCTCCATGCAGCTAGGGCAGAGGAAGCCGAGTGATTAGCGTTCTCCGTCTCCAAGATTGTTAGGGGTGTGATTTTTTATTGGATATTATACTTTCCCGTTGTTCCCCCCCGCGTCTCTACAGTAGCGCGTGATAGGCCGGCATAGAAATTCTTCGTCGCATCCTATGATTTTCATGTCCAATAACAGTACCAAGTAGAAGCTAGGAGTCCTTAAAAAGTGAGGCGCATGAGTCAGACGGGTGCGAGTAGTGAGCGGGATCACCATCTCAAGAGCGAAAAAGAAAAAACTTTACTCATCAAGGCTACTGACCAAAAACTCAAGACTCAGCCACCATCAATGTCGGTTTGGCATCGAGGTTCGTGGATTATTTTGAGAACAGTGTATACCTGCGCATAGAGTGAAAGTGTGCAAAAGTCATGAATTTGATCTATGTATATATAAAGCACAATGTCTGTGCGTGTGTCTGTGGGTTTGTATGTTCCTTATACAAATCTTGTTTCTGAACCGATCCGGATCAAACTTCACACACATACACTTTGGAGCATTGCGGAGAAAGTAGGCTACTTTATCCGGAAAGATATCAATTGATATTATCGATTTATTGATTTTTTCACTTTTCGTTCTAGATAGCTGGGAGTTGGTACACTAAAGTGATTTGATATGCTGATTACAAATATGATAGCCACTTAAAGATTCATCGATTGAGTCCATCGATTTATTGATTTTTCGCAGTTCTCGCTCTAAATAGCTGAGAGTTAGTACACTGGGGTAAGTTGATATGCTGATTACAAATATGATACCCACTTAAAGATTTATCGATTGTGTCTATTGA